CACCCCCTCTCCTTGTTGTCCTTGAAAAGGGCATATTTTGGCCTCTTGAGAGAGCATTATGCTTGAGTGTGTGTTGAGCATGTTTGGTTTGTTTTTCATGCTTATATATCCATAATATAACATGATTTCAAGTTGGTTTTGGTGCTTCATGCATGTTTAGCATAGTTGCCATGTAATGCCTTATTTATGCCTTAACATGTTTTAGGTTGTTAGCCTTTGTTGGCGCATGTTTTAGGCTTAGTCTTGTGAAGATTATGTGCTTATTTTGCCATGTTTTAGGTCTGTCCATAAGTGTTTGGGTCGATTTTGGCATGCTTGATATAGCTCCTTTGTATTTGGGCTTGTTAGCCTTGAGTATGTGCATGAGTAACATGACATCTTTGCATCGAATTGGTGATTTGGGGTCCCTCCACATGCTATTTCAGTCCCATTTTCATGCTTGCTTGATTGCCTTGCATGCCTCTTTGATGCTTTGAAAGCTTGTGTAGCAATGCTCCATGTTTTGGTGTCTATGCATGCCTTTGTTTTTGGGTCATTTAGATGCCATCTAAGTGGTCCTTAGGCCTTGTTTTGATGCCCCAAAACTCTGTTTTTGGTTGATAAGCTCACACCATGTTTAGTCTTGTAAGTGTATTTCAATGCTCCTTGGATTTGCTTTGAACACTTAGACTATTTGTTGCATGTTTAGCTTGATTTGTTGCTTGGTTTGGCACCATGTATTAGCATGATTTTCAGAGCTTATGTTGCATGCTTTTAGTCCATGAATGTCTCTTTCAAGTGTGCTTGAATGTTGCTTGCTTTGTGCCTAAGTGTTGGGTCTTAACATGTGTGTGTGTGCATGTGTGCTTAGCATACATTTTGGGCATTAATGGCCACTGTTTTAGGCCTTATTAGAGTTGCCTAATTCATGTATAAGACCATCTTAGCATTAGTTTTCATTGTCATACGTATGCTTGCATGCTTGCATAAGTTCATTGCTATGCCATGTTGCATCCTTAGCTTGTATGCCTAGGTTGCATTGCATCTTGCATGCATTCCTTGTCCCTTGACTTGGGTGATAGGGATTGGGAGTTTTGTTTGATTGGTTTGCATACATTTGAAATCAAAGTTGCATACTTGGTTCTTTGGGCCATCATGCATGGAAATGCGTGATTGGTGGCCCGGGAACCGAGGCACATGTCCCTTTGAGTCATCACAATGATAAGAGACATGATTGGTGCATACATGTCTTGAATTGTGTTGCCATGCTTTGTTTTGCCCTCTGTTGCTGCTGTGAGTTGCAGGTTCTGCAGACTTTCTTTGCCGACCGGCAGTGTAAGGTGCCGGCCGGCAACATTTTCTCCGCCGACAGCTTCAATTTTATGCCGATGGACACATACCAGTGCCGGTGATGATCCCACTCAGCCGGTGGTACTCCCCAGTGCCCAGGGATGTAACCTTGAGGTTTTGACAGCCTCCAGAGAAGTGAAGGAAGGAAAACAGAGGCAGCTTGTGCATGGCGGCGCGCTTCTCGAGGCGTTTTACTGTTTTTCTTAGTCCATTTAATTTGTTAATTAAATTAGGCAATTTGTAATATTAATTAGCTTGCGTAGTTAATTAATTTGTAATATTTATTCGGTCCCTCCGAGCGAGGGTAAATCTGTAATAAGTGTGCGTGGGTGGTTTGTATGTCTTCCAACCTCACTTCTTTCTTCCCTTTTATTTACCTGCTTACGATGGTAGATTAGGGCACGTTTAATTTAGCATACCTTATGCTATGCATGCGTGCATCCATGCATTTGTATTACATACATTAGGCTCGGTACATCATGCTAACTGCATACGTTTTTCAAATTAAAAATTGAATACGTGATAATTGTGCATTTTCACATGACATGTCTAGGTTAGCCGAGCCTATCTTAGCAACATTTTGTATGCGATGCATTAGGCACTTAACATGGACTTGGATCATGCATGTTTGCTAACAAGTTCTCTGTTTTGGCACGGAGTACGATGTAAGTATTTCCGCTTTAGCATATCGCATGAGTGTGAATGTCGCCATGACAGCATGCTTAACATGTGGCTAGATGCTTACGTGTTAAACTGTTTTGAATGCCTGTGGGTGAAGGTTGGATTGTTTGAGTTGGAAAAAACTCGTTGAAATCCGTATTTTAGCCTACTTGCGAGTAGCAAACCATTTTCAAAACAAATATGAAATGTTTTGTTCCAATTTGGGCGATTTGGTCTATACTTGTTTG